CCAGGTGATGCAATACCATAGAGCTGTGGCTAATTTAGAATGACCACTTAAGCTAGTCGTCAGCCTGAATTGGAAGCCATCTGCTGGGCAATGTCAATGCTAATCACTGTACCGCCATACCACCCGCCGCCAATTATTGGATAAGAAGTAGGATGGGTGGTTACATTTGCAAAAAAGATCAAATGTTCACTTAAACTATGAAGTTATTTATAATTTAAGTGCTGCACTAGGAACTAGTGCAGGGGTGGGCGACTCCAGGCCTCAAGCGCCGGTGTCCCTGCAGGTTTTAGATGTGTCCTTGAACCAACACAGCTGATTTAAATGGCTAAATTAGCTCCTCAACATGTCCTGAAGTTCTCCAGAGTCCTGGTAATGAACTAATCATGTGATTCAGGTGTGTTGACCCAAGGTGAGATCTAAAACCTGCAGGACACCGGCCCTCGAGGCCTGGAATTGCCCACCCCTGAACTAGTGGATAGCAGCTATTAAGTCATCCATATCAGCGTGTTTTTTTTTTTTTCCCATTTCTGCAGAAATGTGATAATGTGGTGCTTCTGTGCTAAAATCGCAGATGGCTTTTTTCCCGTACCATCAAATCCGTTTGCAAATTAGGCTATAAATTTATTCAGATGTGCTACTTGACTTCATGATTTCAGATAATGGCTGCATTTTTTCTTGTATACTTACAGGCTACGTCCACAAGTACACGGGTATTTTTGAAAACTGAGATTTTCCGTTTTCGTTTTAAAAAATAATCACGTCCAAACATTAACGCAGAAATGAAGGAAAACGCTGCTAGGAACATGCCAAAGCAACAGGTGGCGATATATTCCTAACCGTGTAGAAATGTTGGCCAATCAGAAGTCTAGAAGCCTCGGTGGGAAATAGTAAACAAGGATGGGGCATAGAAGCAGAACCTAGTCGTATGTGTGGAGGGACAGTAACTGTGTGTGTGTATATATGTAAGCATTTAAACACTGCAGAGAGTGCAATTAACAGTAATAGTATTGTAGAAATTCATTTCACCGAAACAATAACGTGGCGCACAGTATGACGTCAAAAAAGGCGCACACCTTTGACGCTGCGTTTTCTGCGTTTTTCTCGTCCACACGTAAATGCAAAAACTGAGTTTTCAAAAATATCCACCCTAGCCGGAGTTTTTAAAAATCTCTGTTTTCAGTGACTGAAAACGCCGTTTACGTGTGGACGAAAGGTGCAAACGCGTAGAAAAATCTGCGTTTTCAAAAATACCCGGGTACATGTGGACGTAGCCACAAATTCAAGAGTTGTATTCTCGAAACAAAAAAAGCTGTTGTACCTTTGAAGGGACTGTTCTTGCCTAGCCACAAGATGAGCAGCTAGTAGGTCACCCTAACATGTTAACCCATATTATCAAGAAATACAGCAAAGTACTTTAAAATGTCAAACTCCTTCCTCACAGAATACAGCCAAGATTAAGACAAGTGGAAGGAAACAATTTTTTTAAAGCTCTAACTTTATGTTCTGTCTCCAAACAGTCATAGTTAAGAGGGCAGTAAAAGCGCAACAATTTCTGCTTATTTTCCTTTTGATGTTCAGACCTGCAATAAATTGTCTGTTCTGAATGCTCAGAGGGGGGGGAAAAGCTGTTCAATCTCCATCTTGTTTGATCTTGCAGAGAGGCTGACATTCCAGGATGTTCAGTCACCGCAGGAGTTCCGCTATGGTGAGACAGCAGAAGTGGTGTGTGATGTCATTAGCTCCCCAGTACCCGTGGTGGTGTGGTACTACCAGGACAAAGAGATCACTGAGGAGCACCACAGTAAGTTTTGCCCCCCCTGATTTCACGTATAGACTTTTTTCATTACATTTCTTGGTTTTGTTCTTTTGTTTTTTTTTAATTGCCGTGGGAAATTACATCCTACTGTTCTGTCATTTGCAGTGACCAAACAAAGAATGGGTTGTTAGGTTAGCTCAAAGGTATTCAGAAGGCCTCAAGATCAGGGACACAATATAAAGTTATGTTTTGGGATGTGAAGTCTGAATTACAGTAGGTAATCAAAGATCAGTATCAATGACTGTTCTTTAAAAGTAATTGAGTTGTAATTGCCCAAAATTTGAGAGGCTATATACTGTAAAAATATAAATAAAAGTAGAATCCAAAGTTTTTCAAATCTTGTGAGCACAAAACAGAAAACATATCAAGTGTTTAACGTGAGAAAAATGCACCATTCTAAGGAAAATATTTGCTCATGTTCAATTTGGTGGCAGCAACTAGTCTCAAAAAAAGCTGCAACAGGGGCGGCAAAGGGCGATTAAGTAATGCTAAAAAGAAACAGCTGCAGGAACATTTTTCATGTGATTAGGTTAACTGGTAACAGGCCAGTAGCATATATAATATAATCCTGGTAAAGGTTTTTGTCCACTGAGAGTAGTAAAGAGCAGTTTTCTACTTTATGCATGAATAACATGATACATCGTTCCTGTCAATGGTCACGCTAATTGAGTTGCACGCCCACAAATGTGCAAAGTCCCAAGGAGAAGAAGATGGCTAACAAAACAGAAGTAGGAGCCTCCAGTGCTGAAAACTACCTGCCTAATACCTAATCCCTGTAGACTACCATGTTAAAATGTAATTTAGTTTATTTAGTTGCAACATCTATGGCTAAGTTCCCCCTTTGTAAGACCTGTACTGGGATAAATTTGAAATAACACACAAATATTTAACTGTATTAGGCTAGTGCGTGACCAATACAGGAGACCGATAGCGGTATTCAGTATTTTTTTTCTTTCAGACACACAGAAATACAGTTTCCTGGCATTGGTTATACGTCGTTATTCATTTTCTCATCCTCTGGCTAAATCTGCTTAAGTTATCTGTTTTTTGTTTATAAGCATACAATGTATCTTTTTAATCGTGTGTTAAAGGTAAATTCCTGTTAAAAAAACAAAACAAATATATATATATATATATATATATACATACATACATACATATATTGTTTTTAAGTGTGAAATGCTTTTGATCAAATCATCCCAAAGTCTCTAGTCAAAGAAAGTACTTGGATAAAGTACCACTGCTTAAGTGTGAATAGTCAGTGTGTATAGTGATATTGAATATTTTAGTAATTTATGGTAATAATAAAAGTTGCATGTGAGTGATAATCTCAAAAGGATTGCATGACGAATGTAAATATGCCAAAAACACTTAATTATTGAGAGGAAAAAAAGCTCGTCAGTCTCAGCCTGCCCAACTGTTTCCCTCTCTCGGTCATTGAAAAGGCTCACTAATGTGGCAAAAATTCAGGTCTCTGGGAAATGCTATTCCCTTCTTTTGTGTGGATTCACAATAAGACAAAGGTCTAAAATTCTATGAATAGAAACCCCATCAGCCCCGGAGGGAGGCGTCTAACTCAGACAGAGACGATGTTAACAAGCAGCTGAGAGGACGGATTATTGAGCAGTTGGATAGCGACATTCGAAGATACCGCTTCCCATGAGATAGAATGCAAACCCACACCCTGCATCTTTTGGGAAAAAGCCAGCTAATGGGTGTATTTATGTGGCACTATTGTCTATCATCTTCCATCCTATTCGAGGGAAGGCTGATGTATGTCATTTATGAAGCTCTTTCTGGTAATACCACCCTTTTCAGTGCTAATAGTGCTAAATGTCAGAAGAGTAGTCTACTTAATATTAAAAGAAAAGAAAGATTCACTTTCAGTAACAGTCTTCCCTGATAGAAAGCAGGTGCTGCAGTTAGAACCAGCAGACTAGGACTCATTATTTCGTCTTCGCCTCTTCCCTGATTTACAACTCTCTACACCGCTTCCCCGTCCTCCTTCCAGACAAAACACACGCCTGAACAGATTAGAAAGAATGACCCCTTGAATCTGTCACGGTTTTTAATTGAAATTCAAATCTTCAGCAGCAAGGTAATGATGAAACATGGAGAAGAATGTTTTTTTTCCTTTAATCATTTCACTCTAATTACGCTTCGTGGTTATAAATATATTTGCTTGGGAGAAATGAGATAGAGGCCCGAGCAATCCCGGCCAATCTCCCAGTGGCCACAATAGGAGACTGTGTGGAACTGTAATTGCGCAAGTGTTTATCTGTGTGGACTTTATCAGGTAAATGTGCTGAAGAGAAGATTGACAGTCTAACTACTGAAGAGTGGAGATGGCAATTTTCTCCCGCTGTTTTTCTAACTTTCCTATCTCGCTTCTCTCCCTATCGTACGCTGTTTTTCTTTTGTTATTTCCACTCTCCCCTTCTGCCTTTCTCCGGCTGTCCTTCTGTCCTCCTTTTCACGTGTGCTGTGAAGGCAGGTTCCAGGTGTTGCCAAACAACAACCTGCAGATCCATCAGGTGACCAAGGCTGACGAGGGTGTGTACCGCTGTGAAGCCAGCGTAGAGGCACGCGGGGAGATCGATTTTGTGGACATTGCAGTGGTGGTCAATGGTGAGTGAGGATTTTTTAACATTTACTTGAATTCGTGATGACATTCTGATGTACAACAATAACAGATTGTTTAAGGTTATTTCCAGGATTTTATGGACAAGAGCAATGTTGAGGTCTAGCTGCCAACGGACCACAATAACCAAGATTTCTGCAGTAAAAAATCAAGTGTGGTCTACTGGCATCTTCAGGGAGGACACAAAACTAAAATCAGGGTAAATGGGCAAGGACGTGCAGACTGAGATTCAGTTCACCCAAATAAAAAATATCCATAGTGCTAAAATCTTTGTTTTTCCTAATAGTCAGTGTAATGGCTACAAAACAGCTGATAGTTTAGTGCTGTAAAGTCTGAACATACATACAGATCTGGCACAGTCCTGCTTGTTTAGCAGTTGGAAAGTTGTTGTAGATTAAAATAGACACATTGCTGATACATGCTGACATATCGGGGTGCCAGAACTTCAGTGCAATTTAACAGTGACGGTTTTGTGTGGATCTGTGCTCAGTATAGCTTGACAGTTGGGGAATTTGTCAGTGACAGATTGGGAAAAGTTTAGCAATGTGGATAGCAAGAAAAATTATCTTTTTTTAATGGATTAGGACGATGGAGGGATTCCCCTGCTGTAATTTCTGCCTCAGCGCTTTCAAGGGTGTGATGGAGTTATAACATTGATAGAATTTTAAACTCGATACCAGTAACCAGGAAAAAACAAATCACAAAAATTATGAGGCCTTTAAAACAAAAGATTACAACAGCAAAGAATAACAAGGGCAACACTGTGTTGTGTATGTCTAAAGTGTCCAAATATCCAAGTGTAGTAACACAGGTATAAGATACGGTAAAGCACTCTGGAACACTCTGGAAATACCGCCCTTGCTTGACTTACCCCCCAATAGATGGTTATTAAAGGAATTCAGCTGTACTCATTCCAGTTACAGATCCCCCAACGAGTTCGGTATTGTTATTTTTCATCATAACCCCTCTGAACTGAGATTGGGTAATTTGTGTGACTGTTGACTTCCTTGGATATAGTAGCTGTATCCAAGGGTTCCTCTACAGGATTAAATCCGGATTCCTGGTTACTCATGGCCACGATGGCACGCACATAAAGTACTATCAAGAGATGATTGGGCAGATATTTAGTTTAGTTCAATTCAGTTCAGTTCAAATCAGTTTTGTTTATATAGCATCAAATCACAAGAGGAGTCAGCTCAAGTCACTTTATGTTGTATCATACAGGCCCTACAATAATACAGAGAAAGGAGAAGGAAAAACTCGCTTTAAACAGGAAGAAACCTCAGGCAGAACCAGGCTCGGAGAGGGACAGCCATTTGCTGCGACCGGTTGGGGGTGACGACATAGTTACTCAAAACTGCCATCAACAACGAGACCTGTATCACATTCAGATGACATACCCTCTCTCATCCTACCGGTTGAGGGGAGGAAGACGAATTCAAATGGGACAGAGATGTCTCATTTGAATCCCAGAGGATTCTCTTAGATAGTGCAAAAATCAAAAAAACTAAATCACCAGTATTATTAGACTGCTGGGCATCTGTGCTGCGGGTGACTTGACATCATATTTGGACTGGTACTTATTTAGTGCTTTTCTAAGTGCTTGCTTACTGCAAGCCTCATTCAACCATCCACACAAGTGCTTTAATGTTAACCAATACTTTAATGTGTATCCAATACTTTGACTTGGAGACTAAAGGAACCAGGAACTGAACCACCAACCACTTTTGTTTTATAGCTATTAGCCAACATTGTACTGACTACAAACTCAGCTGAAGAGTAATTGTGATGATGGAACTTTAAAGGAAGCTTTGCAGATTTGCAGACCATGCTCCTGCACACATAGTATCAATAGATTAGCATACATTATGGTATGAATTTCCTCTCTGCAGTATTGTTGTTGTTGTTCTCAAAATTCAATGCCTTTCATTCTTTTCATTTTTGCACTTACAAAACCTTAAGGGTTGCAGGTGCCCAAGGTTAAAAACACAATACATGATCAAGGTTAGTTTAGCAGTACCGTTTCTCTGTGACTGCAGAAAAAGATAAAATATAACAAAGTATCATTCGTATAATTAATTAGCACTAATTTGGTTCCTTTAATTTTTTTGTTTTCTAGTTTGTTGTTGTTAAGTCTGGAGACTGGGGGTAAAATAGCAGCATCCTGTAAGCTGTCAGTTTGTTAACAGTTACTTAAGATTAGTAGAGTATTATAGCATGAAGCTGACATATTTCACTGAGTGTTTGCAGAGTTTTGATCATCTGCAGAGTGAAGGCAGTGACTCTGAAACAGCTCCTACAGTCGTGCAGCAACTCAGATGGAAATTCAGGTTGAATGCATGGACCTGTAGTTGTAGTATCAGAAAAGAGCTGTCAGCTCTGACAGATTCAGTTTCAGTGAATTATAAGTACTTACTAGCTGGTCTACTGGCTACTATGGGGTGTGGTTTTAGTTTGTAATTCTCTCTGTTCTTTAGTATGATTGAAAATTTTAATTAGCGATGCCTTCGGGCTCTGTGGCCCCAAAAATCAAAGGATGTCATATTAATTTTCTCATTTGTCCTCATTTACCGTGAGTCACCTGAGACTGTTGAGGTGATTGAAATGTGATTTTACTACGGCCACAAGCATCTTGTAACGGTTGAACAGCTGCAGTATTGTCTCTGCCTATGTAATTCTCTCACTCCTAATGTAATAGCAGATCAAGCCTCCGCCAAAAACTATGAATTGCATTCAATTTAGCACACCACTTACCTCACTTCTGAGGAAGATCCAATAAGCTTGCTCAATGAGGCACGACCTATTATTGCAGCGACACGACACTCGCCATGTGGTGCTGAGGCGACCAGACCTCGCTAAGCATCCTAACTCCGTAAGGGAGCCACACCCAGAGGGAGATGCATTAAAGTCAACTTCACTTTGCCTCCAAGAGACTTATTCTGCAAGTCTGTGAAGACTTTTAACATTTTGCATGAGTGAGACAAAAGCTGCACCATTTGGTCCTCATGAAATATATAAAGCACTTAGAGCTAAATAAGTCTTCTTGAAACTAATGAGTTTTGGTACGGTACCACTAGACTAGGGGACATCTGTTACACCAGCGCCTTTGTCTCCTTTTTTCTGAGCACTCGAAATGTTCCCTTAAAGCTGTCCACCTGGAAGTTAGGAAATAAAACTGGAAGATTCTGATGCAACTGCTCATTCACGATATAAACTGTAAAAGTGGGCACGAACAATGATATGTCCTCCATTAAGATGTTGTCTACCATTTTAAATCGTCAAGTCACATTCATTTTATTGAAGCGAGGAGCGAGGACTGCTCTTTCATCAATAGAAAGATTTTGAAACTAGTGATTAAGCTAACCTGAGGAGTCGCTACTTGCTGGTCATTAGAAGGAATGCAGGTTTATAGCACTTAAGAATTGATTTCACTATACAAGCAGTACTTATTTTCCTCTTGGTGCCACGAACTGACCAAAATCCAAAGTACTGTCAAATGGGGCTCAAATGTTACTTTACTCTCTCTGGTGCAGAGCTGGGTTGTAAACCATCTGCTATTATTGGCAGTTTGGACTAAACTGACCACTGTTGGCCATAAGCAGTGGGAAAGAAAACCACCAAACATGTCTATGCTGGTACACATTGGGCGTGAACTCTGGGGATATGTGGTTAGGGGCAAATTCTTTTTTTCCCATTTGGGCCTCAAGCAGGTGTGCATACTCATATGGGGCTTGAACTCAGAAAACCCTTGTGGGGATCCAAATAAAAAAAAAACTGCTGTGAAGCCTGCATGAAGTAACTGTGGATTTGTCCTGTCCACACAGCCCCACCATGTGAGGCCAACATATGTCCCACTTTTCTTAAAAGTAAGGGGGCCACTGTGGGGCTCGTGGGTCTACATAGACTGGTCTCACATACACCCCAAAGGTGCACATTTGCTAGAAAGGTGCAGTCATTAATCTAGTTAAGCTTCGGTTGCTCAGCTGATACCTGTCCACTTATGTTCCCTAATTATAGCAAGCTAAAACATTCGCTGCTCTCTTTCTATCTCACTGCCAGTCACTCCTCACACCAGGAAAAGTGTGTGTGGTAGTGCTGCTTTTATTCCACAGTTGTTTGTGTCTGTTTAAAGTCTGTTATGACCTTTGTACATAAACTGACCAGCTTCAAACAATAAATTTACCTACTGGCAAATGACAAACAAAAGGCCTAAATAGCTAGGTACTTAATTCATAAATTTGTGGAAACCAAAACAAAGCTGGGAAAAACAGTACATTCGCTGGGTCACTTAAACCCCTCCTGCCTCAGTAAATGTTAATTCTGCTCTCTGTCTCAGCAGGTTGTATAATCAAACCATTGTGTGTTTACAGCTGCATGGCCTCCAAGTAGTGTAGAAGATCTACTACTGCAAACTGATGTTTTTCTTGCACAACTTCTCAAACTGCCATCATGGTATTTAGTTCTGAGATAGCAGTGGTTCAGAGAGACTTTTAGTTAAGCCTCTAGCATAAAAGAGTTGGTCTGAAGGTAGAAAAGATTGATAGGGCATTTGCTTAAATGTCACCTAGTGTCATGGGGCAGACAAATAGTATAAGCTCCCCATCTTTTTTCTGTAGAAAGTGAACATGTCATCCACTCAGCTCTTCACAGTAATACTTAGAGATCTGAAAAACTGCTGCTCTGCTTCTTTTCAGCAAATCTATGTTAGTATGCAAAGTATCCAAGAACAAAGCAGTGGATGTGCTGCCTTATGGTTCCTCTGACATCTCTATCTGACTTACATCCACGTTTTCTTTCTTCCTGATGGTGTAAATAGTCCCTAAGGAGTTTTCTAAAGTGTACGAGGCACTGTGCAGTTCAACTATGGAAAGCCATATTGCACCCGTACCATAGCTTTTACTCTCAGTTATTTGAACAAGCAAACCTGTGCATTCCAGTTATTTCCATTTCAACCCCTTAAGCTACATCTCATCTGAAGCGCTATTTT